CTTTCAACGTGTGCAATTAGTTAGAGTTTTTATTAATTAATTAAATTATTATTATTATTTTATAATTTGAAATAAGAATATATAATTATTATTCATAACTATAATTTTTAAAAAATAATATAGTATCTGGACTAAACAAAACAATAATAGGAATATATAGTTAAACGATCATCTAGTGCATATTTTCATAACAGAACATTTTGGTAATCTTTCTAATCCCACTACTTTAATCTTCATTCACTACATCTTTTTTTGGAGTATACATATTCTGAAATTAATTTTTTTTTTTGTTCTTTTATCATTTTGAAGGAGGACATATCATTTAAACGGAGAAGTGTTAAGTACTAAGAGTAGTATATAAAAATATTGTTATATAGAAGTCTAATCGTAATATTTTCCACATTATTATTGATGTAGTGGAATTGTTTGGTCCGATACAAACTCTAGCAGATGATTTAAAATTGAATCTTAAAAGATCCTATTTCACCCTTTTTGATGCCTTACATTTGAGAAGTCAACAATGGTGACGGATGTAAATTAATGCACCTATTTGTTACAATTAATTAAGTTCAGGTAGGTCACAAGCTTCATGGTAGAAAATGAAGTACTTTAAATATCTAGTCAATGCCCCTAGCATGAAATTACATATTTGTCCGTTCAACAAGATATTTATAAGGTCACTTGTTGTGACAAATATAAGTACATTAATTTGAGAAGCTAATTTTTTGTCATATAAATACATAAACTTTCTGGCAAATAAAGGTCAGGTACAAAACATAAAAGCGTGCTAGTGAATGGACTTTTTGTGCCAGACAGATTTTAGCTATATAGCTTGTAGAAAATTTTAATATTTTTATTCAGTATTTTTCAATGTACTAAAAGCAATAAATAAATATATATATATATATATATATATATAGTCGTTTGTTGCTAGTATGCGTTAACCGTGATTTCTGTTTACCACAAAAAATGTAATTCTTTGATTTTGTGAGACTCTACTTAGTAAATGAGTCGATTATTCAGATGGTTGTATTATTATTGTAGGTTCTTTATTTTTATTACATCGATGTGGATTGCCACATGAAATAGCAATAGAACTTTTTCATACATTTGTAATTCGTGGTCTAATTAGACAACATTAATCATGCTTCTAGAAGTTGCTAAGAGAAAAATTCTAGAAAAAGAATCCATTGTACGGGAAATACAGGACATTACTTGTTCTAATTTATTTGGTCTAAAATATAAGGAATTCACTAGCTGATCAAATTGCCTGATTTTTTCTTTTTATTATTGGAATAGTAAGAAAACCTTTTCATATATATAGAAAATATGGAGATGTTATATTCCACACATACAAAGGACAATGATGATAAGAACATTTCCAAGTTGCAACCAAGGAAGATTTGATTTTGAAGTTGAAATCACAATAAATATATATATATATGTGTGTGTGTGTGTGTAAAAAGATAGTACTAGATATATATGGAAGTGAATGGACAAAAAAAGAAAATGATTTACATAGAAACAAAAAAATATGAATTGTCTGCCCAAAGGAATGGTCTCCAAATGCAAGCAAAACGGCTACAAGTAGCAGCCAATATAAATTCAGAATGACAACAAAACAAATAAAACACTGACCCAAAATGAAATTAACCAACCATTTTCACTCCTTCCTTACCCCTTTTGGGATGAGATAAGACTATGCTCATTCTGACACGTGGCACCCCTTCTTGTGGCTTAATTAACATATCTAATTATTAGCTCACCCACTCCACCCCCCACCCCAATTAAAAATCTCCCAAATTAATGTCATTAGGACGGAGTTATAATTCTACTTATGGATTCGATAAAATTTAACTATACCAACTTAGACAAAAATTCCACTAAGTAATTATTCAGGACCCATTAAATTGTGTATTCTAAAATCATAAACTCAAAATTCTAGCTTTACTGTGTATCGTGGTTATTGATTATTTAAATGTCAAGAAGGACATGATCCAATGGTTACAAATGGACTAAATGAGGGTTGGTTAATTTGTGACCGTTAGATGGGAAAGTTAAGTGAAACCTTATCATTATATATAGAGGGGGAGACTACAAAGCAATCACCCTCTTGAGTTCAAGGGAAGCAAAGATAAGCACTCAGAAATGGCTTCTTCAGTGATGTCCTCAGCAGCTGTTGCCACCCGCGGCAATGGTGCACAAGCCAGCATGGTTGCACCCTTCACTGGCCTCAAGTCCGCCGCCTCTTTCCCTGTTTCAAGGAAGCAAAACCTTGACATTACCTCCATTGCTAGCAATGGTGGAAGAGTCAGATGCATGCAGGTTTGTACATACTCAAATTAAACAACAAAATTCATTGACCAAAATGTTATACTCGCTAATTTGTTTGATTTAACTATTTATGTATAGGTGTGGCCACCAATTAACATGAAGAAGTACGAGACTCTCTCATACCTTCCTGATTTATCCGACGAGCAATTGCTCAAGGAAGTTGAGTACCTATTGAAAAATGGATGGGTTCCTTGCTTGGAATTCGAGACTGAGGTTAACATTGATCTCCTCTGTTTTTAAAATTTACTAGTTAGTAGTACTAAGTGTTAATATGTTGTATTGTGGGATATATATGTGCAGCACGGATTTGTGTACCGTGAGAACCACAAGTCACCAGGATACTACGATGGCAGATACTGGACCATGTGGAAGTTGCCCATGTTCGGGTGTACTGATGCAACCCAGGTGTTGGCTGAGGTGCAGGAGGCAAAGAAGGCTTACCCACAGGCATGGATCCGTATCATTGGATTCGACAACGTTCGTCAAGTGCAGTGTATCAGTTTCATTGCTTACAAGCCCGAAGGATACTAAGTTCTAAAGATAACTAATTGCCCTATTTCTATAGGGACAGTTTGTTTGAATTCTCCTTTGGTTTTTCCCGGGAGAAATTGTATTCATTTTCCCTTGTTTTCCTTCTTCTTTCTATTCAGTGTATGATCAATTCGAATGTCAATCAAGTTTACAAGAACTAATAATGACATTTGTTTCTTTACTAATCTGTTTGTGAAAATTGCTTAATTTGTGATGTATATCAGTTATATATATATATATATATATATATAGCTAGCACCACAAACCTGGATTTGGCTTTAGAGTACTTCACTTGGGCCATACACCATGACGATGGCCTCATTGTATGCCCTGCTTAGAAATAGACCAATTTTAATTTGTTGCTATTGTAATTATATATGGATATTATTTTAGTTATTCGACTATTTTCAAAAGTGATCGGTAATTTCTAAGTATCATAAACAAGTATAGAATGAACACGAGAAAAAAAACAGTGCAGGGGTCGCAAATTGATTTTCATCTCTAAAGTTCTGATAGTATTATTCTTACAAATGAAAAAATTGTATGTCTATAGTTAGAAAGAATAACAGGATATTTTTAGCATATTTTTAAAAAAGCATATCCATAAGTCGATGAGATTTTGGATAAAATTACTATCCCAGTTTGAGAGTGTTCATCCTAACTTTCTTGTACTTTTCCCTGTTGAGGATATTTATTTAAATTATTAATAAAAGACGAGTAGACATCTAGCTAGTGATATTAATAAAATTAAAAAAAATAGCATGCATTGGTTCCAAAGAAGTGTACATTGGGTACGACTACAACAACATATTCAGTGAAATCCCACAAAAGGAAATTGACATTGAGTGGGAACCAAATGTTTTTTGCAGAGAATATGATGAAGCATTAAGAAAAAACTGACAAATTGTTCGCTGAAGCTACTCTGTTGAAGTCGTTAAACCATGAAAAGATTATGAAGTGCTTCTCTTATTAGTTTGATCTCAAGTCCAAAACTCTCAACAGGATCACAGTATCATTCCCCTCAGGCAGCTTGAAAAAGTATTTCCAAGTACGATAATGGCGTTGTTATTGATTTGGCGAGTATCAAGAATTGGGGCAGGCAGATTCTTGAAGGTTTGAACTTTCTTCATTGAAAGAGCCCTAAGATCATCCATCGAGACATCCAGTGCAACAATGTGTTCATTCAGAGTGGTGGGAAGCAAGTTATGATTGGAGATTTTGAGTTGGCAGAAGAGCTTCACTTGCTAAGGTTCTTAAACTATCACTATACATTCATAACAAATGCACAATCAGCATAGCTGAATATCATTCAACAATGGAGAAAAGAAGGGTGGATAAGAGAGTGACTTAAATATCACATCAGGATTGCGATGTAATCCAGCCTACTAGTACTTTGATTGAGGAAATGACATAGATAAGCTTCAAACAAAAACATTTACCACGGCCCCCCACCCCACCCTTACCAAGGAGGGTGCTAAATTTTCATTTGTGAGCAATAACCAAACTTTGCGAGCTCATGAACATGATTCTAATAATCCATCTCATTGATCTACTTCTAATTCTACACGATGAAAGTTATTTACTCCAAAAATAAAGCTTCTTTTTTCGCTTGACAACCTACATTTACAATTTAACTCTGCTAACTATGCAATGAAAAGTACTAGTAATGCATAATAGATTCTATTAAGTTTGATTGCAAAAAAGACGTACATTCATCAAATAAACATGTTTAACAATAACTTCCAAACTTATGATATAACGCATGATAAGATGATAAATCATAATCATCATGAACAGCTGCAAATTACTATCATTCAGACAAATCCATGATATTGTAGTGCAAAGAAGACACACAGCATGTCAAATTGTTAGCTTTCTACTTTTTCCTGATTGATTTATATGGTCATCCATCGATCTTTTGAAAGGTACACAAATTTATTAGTGTTTCCCGTTGTGCATTTATATCCAACGCAGTGAAGTTCGGCTAATTGTAACTTTCCTGCTAAATCCATACTTTATTCATTTGAGTCCCATTAGCCAAAAGTCAGTCTGTATTACAGATTTTAAGTATGTATACAAAAGTCGATCAATCAGCATCTAAACTTGAACTCTACTTCAAATTATTCAATCACCCAATCAGTTCCAATAACAATCTTATCTAATAATTCAGTTCCAAGAACAAACTTCTCTGAATAATAATTATTAAAAATACTCAATGCTAAAAGAAACTGAAGTTAACGTCATCCTGTATGTGGTAATATATCGTATTGATAATGTTCTAAAAAAACATGTTATTTGATGGGTGTTAGTTAATGGAAAAAAATTCGACTAACCAGAATATCAAGGAGCATTTGAATTGCCGCGTTGCTTTTCGATTTCTTGCTTTTGTTTCTCAGCAAGTTTATCCAAAGAAGCTTGCAGAGCATCCCGACCTCCAATAAGCAACCTGGTGATGACTTCTGGATCTCTCTCAAATCGTGCCTCCTCGAACTCCTTTCGGACATTTTCTCTAAGAACATCCCGCCAGGGAATGCCTTGAGAGTTGGCCCACATGAAGAACCGGGTGACGCGGATGACATCTCGGTAGAGACTTAGAGCCTCGCGTCTACTGCTAGTGAGTCGTTGTCTATTTAGGAGGTCGTTCTCATCATCATCAAGGCTCTTCTCCTTTTTGACCACATGTCTATCCAATAGTTCCTCCATAGTGTCTGGACCATGGTGCAGGAGGCGATAGTGATGCAAGAGCCATCTTGACTTGAAACTATGATTCACAGCAGTTGAAAGATTTCGAAATTTGTGGATATTAGCAGTCATCTTTCACCTCGGTGACTTGACTGGTACAGAAAGAGAAACAAGACTTTAGAGCAATCACATTTCATCAAAATGTCATATACTACTACAAGAAAAGCAATTAGATCAAACTGAAGTGATAGAGATGATCCAAATTAAAAACATGTTTCTTAAGAAGGTAACTAACATCCATACAGAAAGTCTTGATTTTCTTAAGAATGCTATCAAACACAACAGCAAGAGAACAGAAGTGGTGTGCGTCTATTGGTATGCGAGATACTACATGATTAGAAAAAACTGAACTGATTCTCAAGACCCTTTTATGGATACTCCCTCTGTCCACTTTTATTTGTCATGTTGCGATTTTAGAAAGTCAATTTGACTAATTTTTAAAGTTAAATTAGATTATATTAATTTGATATTTTAAACAAAAAATTTAGATATTCAAAAACTATACGAAAAGTATTATAAATTGCAATTTTTTGCATATCAATATGATGAAAAAATACATCCTAAAATGTTAGTCAAAGTTTTTATAATTTGACTTTAAAAAAGAAAACTATGACAATTAAAAGTGGATGGATGTAGTGAAACAAGAAACAAAATTGGACTCATAACGTGATAGTACAAGTACACTATAATGAATCTTACAAAAGCAATTTCAATCGAACTTAGAACACTTTCTACTGCAATGCACAATAAGAATAAAGATAGAACGAAACCAAAAAAAAAAAAAAAACGACTTCTCTTTTTCCACTTTGGCGCTTAATGAAAGAGCTCCATGTGGGAGAATGGGAGAACCTACATACTTGTTCCATTCAGTTTAATCAGCATTCAAGCTTTAAAAGAGGTAGCCGTTAATTTCAAAACAAAACAGTATAAAGCAAAGAAAATAGATAAATTAGAATATAGCAACACTATAAAAAGCAATTTATTCTTCCCTGGAACTTCTCCTAACAAAATGTAATCAACAGGTATTGGCAACTTAACACAAATAAATTTGACATTTCCGAAAAAAAAAAAAAAACAAGAACAATGTAGGAACTACTGGGTAATTAACTATAGCATACACAATTGAGTTCACAGAAAAAAATAAATTAAAATCTGAAAGCACCCCTAATTATAGAAAAATAAATAAATTAAGATGTAACCTGTTGTAGATATCTGCAAATTAGTGAGTGGAAGAGAGAAATAATGCACAACAACACTTTGGCCAATTAGCGCTGTAGGAAGGGAAGAGGAATTGGAAAATAGTGTTTGGCAATTGCGGGTTGAAAAATGGGTCAAAATGGCAATTGCGGGTAGAGAAGATGGGCCATAAATGGGTTACAAAATATGGGCTCAACATATTTTCTGGGCAGCCAATTTTCAAGGCATTTTCCTTTGTGGGAAATAATTTCTTTGGACTTCAGAATATGAGTTGAAGTAATAATTCTAATAATGAAATTAAAACAATGATGATAATGGTGTTAATTATATTTAAAATGATAACCAAATGGAGCAATATGGATAATCAATGCAACTGTAGAGTAAAAATAAAAAAATAGCGCTACCATATACTACAAATAGTAAAAATTATAATAATGATTCAAAATAAATTATTAATGATAATGGAGGGACAAAATTGAATGTTAATAACTTCTTATAATTGCTTAAAGGGAATACAAGATGGGGAAATAATGTGTTATTATTATTGATGTATGCAGGGTATATAAAGAATATGTACAAGTTTTGTATCAATAAAGAATGGTCAATTTGTATGATGTAGTTTGATTGGTAATAGAGTATTAAGAAAAAATTAATGTAATAAGTAGCCGTTCACTCATTAATTAAACTAAGAATAGCAATCGCATATATAAACGGTGTATATCTATTCATATATTGATTAGAAAAAGTGAATAATAAACTTGTCCGGCTATTTTTGTAACTTGTAAGGATCCCTATTTCTTATGTAAGAAATTGAGGAAGATTTTGCATTGTTCCAAAAATACTCATAAAAAAAATAAAATTTTAATATAAGAGTACACTTTTATGAACTTTTTATCAAATAAATGAAATCCAATATTAGCAAAACATTGATATTATCACTAAATATTTTGTTAAATAAGAAAATATGTCATTTTATTTTTAAACAAACTAAAAAGCAAAGTAAACCATATAAATTAAAAAATTAGAAAAAAGGGATTAATGAGTATATAACAGAAATTTGTAGCAGTAAGGTGGCTTAAGTCATCAGGTAATCATCCATTATTAGCTCTTTGTTTGTCTTGTATGCTAAATGTATATATATAAATTATGTAGCATAATGACTACATTTGGCATCATCTTTAGACAATTCACTGAAATATCTCAAACCATTTTTATTGTGAGATTTGAACAAACTATCAAGTACCAAAATTCCCAAACAATATAGTAAAATCTTTTCAAGTGAAGAAATTATTAGGACACATACCTCTATGAATTTTTTCATCAAATTCAGTTAATGTGTTCTTTTTTAACACAAAAATCAAAGTTCCAGTGGGTAATTCTTTTTAACTGTATTTTTAATAAAAATGTCCCATTCATTAGTTTGGGAACTTTAAGATAAGGAGTGTGTAATTTCAGAGGCTATTAATTTTGAAATGTCAAGAGCCACATAATCCAATGGTTATGGTTGCTCTTAGATGAGGTTATTGCTTGGTTGTATCCTTTATGTGAAACCTTATCATCATTATATATACAAGGGGATACTAGAGAGCAATTATTGTCAACAATGGCTTCCTCTATAGTTTCTTCAGCTGCTGTTGCCACTCGCGCCAATGGTGCACAAGCCAGCATGGTTGCCCCCTTCACTGGACTCAAGTCCGCCGCCTCTTTCCCTGTTTCAAGGAAGCAAAACCTTGACATTACCTCCATTGCTAGCAATGGTGGAAGAGTCAGATGCATGCAGGTTTGTATAGTAGTTACCAGTATGTATATATATATATATATATACTAATCGAATTAACTTTTAGTATTTGATGATTTAAACTTTCTAAGTCACTAGCTAGTTCCATTTTATGGACAGGTACATGTAATTATCTTTCCAGTGTGAAATTATATTACATACACACACATTATTTTAACCACAAAATTCGTTGATGAAAATGTTATACACCATATTAGTGAAGTTAATTTGTTATTATTAATGTATAGGTGTGGCCACCAATTAACATGAAGAAGTACGAGACTCTATCGTACCTTCCTGATTTGTCCGACGAGCAATTGCTCAAGGAAGTTGAGTACCTATTGAAAAATGGATGGGTTCCTTGCTTGGAATTCGAGACTGAGGTCAGCATCGATCTCCTCTGTTTTTTAAATTTACTAGCTAGTACTAAGTGTTAATAATGTTATGGGATATATATGTGCAGCACGGATTTGTGTACCGTGAGAACCACAAGTCACCAGGATACTACGATGGTAGATACTGGACCATGTGGAAGTTGCCCATGTTTGGGTGCACTGATGCAACCCAGGTCTTGGCTGAGGTGCAGGAAGCAAAGAAGGCTTACCCACAGGCATGGATCCGTATCATTGGATTCGACAACGTTCGTCAAGTGCAGTGCATCAGTTTCATTGCTTACAAGCCCGAAGGCTACTAAAATGCCAAGTTTTAATTAATGTAATGTATAACTGACCCTATGTATTTAGGGGAAGCTTGTTTGAATCCTCCTTAAGTTTTTCCCTGGAGAAACTGTATTAATTTTACGTTGTTGTTTCCCTTCATCTTTCGAATTAATGGCATTTGTTTTAATACCAATCTGCTTCTGAAACTTGTAATGTATGTATATCAGTTATAATTTATCCAAGTAATATCTTCCATTCTCAATGCAATTGCCTTGCATAAGCTCAATAAACGCGTACACCAATCCCTCCTCCGCTGGATTCCTCTAGCTAAACTTGAACAAATTTTCCCTTCAGATTATGAAATGGATATATGCTTAACAAACGTCTCCTTCTGTTGGAAAATGTTGTACTTGTCTTTTTTCTTTTGGGTATAGTTTATATACAACATCCAAGTAGTGTGAAATGGATATATATAGAAGACTTATTTGATTGATTGATGACTTGAGTTGCCTAATAACAAATTCTTAGGTGAGTAAATCGATCTCTCTACCCTGGACAGATAGGAATTATGACTTCCAATGGTCCAGAAAGCAAAGTTTGCACTGAGGGTATACTTGGAATTGAGATTTGCACTGGTCCAGAAACCTAAGTTCCCGGTGATATATATGCAAGCTCTAAAATCACATCGTTGGAATGAAATTCAGTTAAAAAAAAGAAATTCAATTAGAGTTAAGTTGCCCATGAGCTTCATAGCATAGGTAAAATGGGAAGTTGGAAGTAACCTGCAATAATCAGTGAAATGACATTAATACATTAAATATATCCTTCATATGTAATTATACTTTCCAGGTTAATAACACTCTATGAACTAAGAACTATCAGAAATGGGCTCATCAAACTTTTGTACTATGTATTTCATAGAATAAGTAACCAATAAGGTATATAACTATACATAAGTGGGGTCTGGAGAAAATGATGTATACACAATTTAATCCCTATCTTGTGAAGGTAGAGATATTGTTCTCGATGGACCTAAAGCAAGATAGCTATTAAATGTATTGATAATAATTATCTGAGAAAAGCCATAACTGGCATTGGATTATTTCAACCAAATAGAAGTTTCTACCGTACTATTCCCCCCCCCCCCCCCTCCCGTTATTCCTCTGCTGGCCATAAAATGGCAATGGCCTCATGTGTGTACCTTGCTCAAAAAAGAGACATATGACTTGCCAATTTTTTTGATTCTTCTAAGTTAAGGTGAAATATCATTCATAAACAATTTTCCCCAAAAATACTACTTACCAGTTTCCTTTTATAGAATTTGACAGTTCAAATATATGCTGCAAAATTTGCCGCAGAAACAAACGAGACAGAAACAAAATACAGGGGTTGCAAACTTTATTTTCGTGTTAGGGTGTGTTTTATTATAAAGGAAAATGTTTTTTCATGTAATTAATCAAAAATATTATCCAAAAACATTTATATATATTCTTAGTCAACACTATGGGTATCAGGGTGGGATGTGTTGGACAATCAATATGGAAAGGAAGTTATTTCCATTTTTTTAGGAACTTGTTTTTCAGTAAATATTTTCAGTCATACTAAACAGACTTATGATATTATTTTTAAAAATGAAAATCTTGTCAGAAAGAAAAGCAAAAGCAACAAAAAATTGTAAGTATTTTTTTAAAAAAGAAAAGCATATCTTATTTGTCAGTATGGGAAGTTTGAGATAAGGACGAGTGAGGGGTTAAAATTCAGTGGCCATTGATATTGTAATGCCAAGAACCACATAATCCAATGGTTACCGTTCCTCTAAGATGAGGTTTGCTAGCTCTTTTTGTCCGTTAGATATGAAGCCTTATCACTATATATACAGGGGTTCCTAATAACCTCTTAGTAACCAATTATTTCTGAAATGGCTTCTTCAGTAATGTCCTCAGCAGCTGTTGCCACCCGCGGCAATGGTGCACAAGCCAGCATGGTTGCACCCTTCACTGGCCTCAAGTCCGCCGCCTCTTTCCCTGTTTCAAGGAAGCAAAACCTTGACATTACCTCCATTGCTAGCAATGGTGGAAGAGTCAGATGCATGCAGGTTTGTACATACTCAAATTAAACAACAAAATTCATTGACCAAAATGTTATACTCGCTAATTTGTTTGATTTAACTATTTATGTATAGGTGTGGCCACCAATTAACATGAAGAAGTACGAGACTCTCTCATACCTTCCTGATTTATCCGACGAGCAATTGCTCAAGGAAGTTGAGTACCTATTGAAAAATGGATGGGTTCCTTGCTTGGAATTCGAGACTGAGGTTAACATTGATCTCCTCTGTTTTTAAAATTTACTAGTTAGTAGTACTAAGTGTTAATATGTTGTATTGTGGGATATATATGTGCAGCACGGATTTGTGTACCGTGAGAACCACAAGTCACCAGGATACTACGATGGCAGATACTGGACCATGTGGAAGTTGCCCATGTTCGGGTGTACTGATGCAACCCAGGTGTTGGCTGAGGTGCAGGAGGCAAAGAAGGCTTACCCACAGGCATGGATCCGTATCATTGGATTCGACAACGTTCGTCAAGTGCAGTGTATCAGTTTCATTGCTTACAAGCCCGAAGGCTACTAAATTCTCCATTTTTTAATGTATAAATGTCAACAGTGAGAAACTGTTGGCATTTTCCGTTTACCTTTATTTTGCTTCTTCTTTCTATTCAGTGTATGTTCTTGGATTCCACTTGAATTTATCATGAGAACTAATAATAGTAATAATCATTTGTTTCTTTACTAATTTGCATTTTCAGATATGATTTCTGGTGTATATCATCATTTTCATTCCAGCAATATTAATTTCCCCCATTCAAGTTACTTATGAAATAGAAATCCTCTGCTCCGTCTACTTTATTTGTCCGCAAGTCTTGTGGCTACTATATAACACGAAATGGAGAGAAGATTCATTAATAAGCCCATCCTAACTAGTTTTGCATTGAGGCATATAGTGGATTGATTTGGGTAAAACCTAATGTTAGCGGCAACTTAGAGTAAAACTGTTAGCGTCTGTACATTATCTTTTCACTAATAGCATAAAATAATGCATAGTTAAAGAGAAATCATGATACTTATGATTAGTAATCTATAAAAATGACAAGTAATATGCTATGAACAATATCTGCAAAATTTTGTTATGCTATGAATTTCTTTTCCTTTATTGATTGTCATATATGTCCTATATATCACGATCGATCGACGTAACATACTAAGACATTATTATAAGACAAGTTTTTCACTATATATGGAAGTATCTCGAATTTTTTTCTGACCACAATTGAGGATGTGGAGATAAAAGGATCATGTCCAAACCTTTTTTCGATTGAAGAACAAAATCTCAAATTAAAACGATGAAATCATAAACATTTCAATTTTCAATCTAATAGAGTTTCATAACCAACTATTCCATTTTTTAAAATGAATAATATAATTACCTAACCAGTCAAACTTATACACGGCACTTTTTTTAAACATAGCGAGTGTTTCTGAAATTTGTCTTGTATTATTCAAACTATCGCTAGCTAAGCTTAATAATTAAGTCTCACACTATGGTCATTTATGAAATTTTCTCTATTTTTAACCCTCCATGATAATGATAATCCTTTGCTAGCCATATAAGGTCCATAATGGCAATGGGTTCTTGGTGTTGACATGTGTGGACCTGCTAAAAAATAGATAGACTTAAAAAAAGTTTTGTTGTTTCCTTTTGTTGCCTTCTACTAAGTTAACGTGAAATATCATGGCCCAAAATATTGCTAGGTTTCCCTCTCTATAGGTAATAACACATTTCTCCTAAAAGAGAAACGATCCACCAAAATTGTAGTACATGTATGCTGGTCGTAATAAGACTTCTTGTTAATTAATTACTTTCTTCGTTTTTATTTGTTTGTCCTATTTTAATTTGTCATACAGTTTAAGAAAGTAAAGAATCTTTATATCTATATCTATATTTGCAACTAGCATTACACTAAAAAAGATCTTTAGAAGTAATTAATTAATGGTAATAACTTATTGTCGCTAAATATGTTCTTTTAGAGACAATTACATTTTAGCACTCTTTATGTAAATGCCGTTAAAATCTATAGTGACATTAAGTCTAATGGTAATGTTGGTAAAGGATTTAGCAACATTCTTTGTTAATATGTATATTTATTATCGCTAAAAACTGTATTTACTATAGTGTATAATTATTTAGCTTGCTTCTAAATTAAATCATTACATCTTACTTATTACTTAAATTTTGAATATTCTACTTGATCGGAATCTTGCTTATAGCTTTGATCACTTCTAACATAAACAAAAATATAGTGTAATTTCTTCTCTTTCAACCTTCCCTACTCCTTGTATTATAAAATATAGGAGTCAAATATAAGTAACGCACCTCACTTCATCTTCTTGTTTTCAAATTTTCGAATTTCACAATTTAATGAAGGTTGTATATCTATAAATATCTTTCGAATGACTTGATCGTTTGATAATTCTTCTAACAACTAAACACCACTTTTAAGTAACTATATAGGTATTTTTTTTACTCTATTAATGGACTAAAGTTAATTAAACATTAGTTTTAAGTAAAAACATATTTTTAAAAATGTACTATTGATACAGAAAAGATAATTAATCACCGCTTTTAAATTACTACTCCCTGATCTCATCGATCTTCTCTATCCATGCCAACTTTTTGTTGCCAAGGATTGTTGGAAGAGAAATCTTATAGGATTTCATTAATTACTACAAAAATAACAAAACCAAACCCTAAAATTTTACAAATTAAAGGTACAGTACACAAGTGTACTGTATTAATTAATTAATATAATACAGTAGTACAACACACACAGTAATTTAAAAAAACAAACAAATAGGTAGATAGTCAAAAATAAAAACACGCATAAATATACACATAAACAGAGTACTGACTTTCATCCTTCATAAAAACGGAGGAATTCTTCGTAGCTATTGGGGTGCCATATCCATTTCATCAACTCATCATCCCAATTTTTTCTGTCAGTACCCAATGATGGTTCCCCATCACCTAATTTGAACTCTTCTGGACAATCAATTTCCATATATTTCATAAAAGATGGTTCAATTATAGGCAGCACCACTGGAGGATCAAAAACATCCTTATCATCAATACCATGATAAAATTTCATTGCCAACGCCATCTCTTCATCTTCAGGGAAAAAGTCCGAAAACATAGCATTGAAATCAATACTAACATTATTTTCGTAACTATTTTCAGCTAATTCTTCGAGTTGAATTATTAACCCCTGGTCTTCATAATCCTTGATCACGTCTAAAGGAGGGATTTCCTTCTCAGTATTTTTGTTCTCTAGTTTCTCCTCCTCTACACCGCCCTCGTTATGAAGAGACCCCATAGAGAGAAGATGAAAAAAACGGACAAAGAAAGCAAAGGAAGAAAAAGAGAAGATTATTTTGTGCTTCGAAGGAGAAGGGAAGTAAGTGATTATATAGTGAGGGAAGCTACGTTATCGTTTTTGGCTTATATGGGTGCATGCATGACTCAGTACATATACAAATTGTGTAGGTGAAGGAGAAATGAGAGAGGGGATTACAAGATGAAAAATCGAACCTTCACCAACAAGGTGAAAATCAGGTGATCAACCAACTGAACTATTGAGATTTCCTTTAGGAAGGTGTGTTTGTATTTTTTTCTCATACAAATTTAAAATGGAGATTAATTAAAACAGATCAATTAAATATACTGAGTTTTTCAACAAATATTAAATCTGGTAACCTTATAATGAATAAAATTTCAAGATCTAACTACAACAGAGTTATGTGGGATTAGCTAGTAACCTGATAAATAAGATAAATTGTCTGTTATTACCAGAACTCGACCTAGTGCTTAATGAAAGTGAGTTAAAACGTCTAAGGATCAATTTCCAACGGAAGGCAAAAACATTAGGTGGTTTATTCTCATATGTCCAAACATTGGCAGATAGAGTTAGTACTTGTGCTAGTGAGAGGTTAGGTGCGGACAAGCTGACTTGAACATCATAGTTATTGACAGTGAAAGTTATCTTATAATTACAGTATCGGAGTGTATATATATATTGGATGGTTTAATTGTTAGAGGAATTGAAAAAAGATTCAATTTTTCTTTTTTAAAAAAAGTTTTAAGAAAACCATACTAGAACCGAAAACAGCTCATAGTATTTAAGCTTGTAACACCTAGAGAAGAAAAGGTAGAGAAGTATCCAAAAAAATGCCGACCACTTTTTAAGCACCTTGATGTACTTTGCAATGTGAAAGCTTTGCTTTTAAAATTTGGTGTTTTGCTACCTATTTTAGGTTTTGAGGTTTCTACCAAGTATGGTGTCGGTTTTGTTTTAGTCTTTAGATACAAGCTAAGAGTTAACGGTTTGTTTTTATTTGAGAATATGATGTCGTACGTAGTTCACTTTGATGGTTCTCTCATCTATTGCCATGGCGTCAGTCTTTTTGGTTTTTCTTTCTCCTATGAAATAGTACAAGGTGATAATATGGTAATGCCAGTCTTAATGTAGAATTATGTGTATTGTAAATAATGAAGTTGTAATTGTAACTGTGTTGGAACATTAATTACTAGAGTTTTTTTTTTTTTTTTTTTCACAATGAAACAGGAAACTAAATTCAGGGGAAGTTTATGGAAGCAATTTTGTTTACGGAAAGAATGATCAAGTCTTTTAAAGTTTGGCACTCCTGGAAAAGTATTAAGAACCCTAATTTCTTTTGCACGGTAAAACACTTAAATTAACTTATGTTTCCCTTGTTAATTTGGAAAAATGGAACTAGCTTTCCGTTCTTCGTTGATTTGAAGAAAAGGAACCTAAATCAACAGAGGTTTATTGAGTAAATGTAAGTTAGCCAAGACATTCAGTGATGTGAAGGCAATAATGTCTTATGATTTAGAGATCTCTACAAAGATAAATATAAATAAATAAGGAAATATCACTTCAGATGGGTGGAGAACAATCCAGTCTGTACAATGTTACATATTTTCAAATTGTCAAAAACTGTGAAAACCGATTCAAGTGCATTTACAGAAGGCAATAAGAAAAATTGATCAAAATTTCTTAAGATAGGCATCCGAGCATAACAAACATCCAAATTTTTTTTAAAAAAAGTTCCCTCTATTGCTAATTAATAATCAAAATTTGTGTTCCTTTTTTTCTAGTAATTTTTTTTTTCCTTATAGAACATGTTTTATAGTCATATTGATTATTCAGCTGACGAAGTTTTTGTTATTTACAGTTCATTAAGGATGATTCAAACCGTAGCAACCAGGTGAGAGTTTTGGCAATCAATTCTGACACTTGAGTCTTTTAGCCTAGTAGTCTTGCCCTTGCACATGACCTTCCTTTACAACTCGATGATGACGAATTAGGTGAAGCTGAAGTAGATGCACTAATTGGTAATGATGATAAACAGGTTAATTGCTTGCCATAATTTGCAAAGCACACATCATGAATTAATGGATTCACCGCTCAGCTAGGTGGTGGCCCATTAAAGAAAGGAGGGGATCGGATGATGATGAAGCTATACCACTCTGTTAGACCACATAGGAGCATGAATTATTAATTTCACCAAGAGGATTAATTTTAAAGAGAAATTTACTTCATTACACCGTCATTGGATATAAGTTAAAACATAGAAGCGTACATTTGAAGCACAGTGTATGGACACTGGCAGGACAGGTGTAGAAAGAATAGACAAGGTAAGTCGGACAGTTGGTAAGCAAACAGGTAACCTAAACACTCAAGTTTTCGGGTAGAGCACATTTAATAAATTGATGAAATTTGATATAAAGAAGACAGTTATAAACATTTAAGGTAATGATATGGAAAAGATAATTACACAACAAGGTTACCTTTATACATAAGTCTTTACGACAGTCGTTAATTGATAACGTGATAAACACAGTAACAACTCTACTAAAATAGGTTAAACTGCATTGATCATTCAAAAAATCTTTGTACTGTACTTATATTGATTAACTTAAGCATCATCACTGCTTTGCATAAACCACGGTAGGCAGTTTGCAACACCACTGATCAACTACCCTGAGACTAACTTCCTTGAGCTGCTAGAGACTAGATTTGTGACCTTATTAAGCTTCATCATTTGAGATTTCTGATATACACAATAGTGTTCTCGCGCATGTAAGATTACATCTAGCTTGAAATCAACAACATTTAGTAGATGAAAATTTTGATTTTCACATTGACAATTATTTATTATTGCAACTTTATAGCAGAAATTCCAAATGTAACCAAAATTCTCCTTCTACATTTTTTTTATTTTATATAGAAATGGCTAATTCATATTCTCTACCAGGTATGGTATATCATATCATTCAATCTCAGATATATTAAGTAGTACCTCTTTGATAATGAGATCCAAAAATACCTCTGATCCGGCTTTTGAATCCAAGGCCTCAGCTTGATTACTGTTCCTCCATTAAAAAAGCCCCAAATTAAATACAGAATGTTAACGTCTACAAAAAAAAAAATTGACCTGAGAGAAAGAGAAATCACCTGAAAGGAAACTCGGCGAGGTTTGGGACAATTCATCGCCAGAATCAGAGTTTAATCGGCCTGACAAACCGATTCAATCGACAGCACGGTAAAAAAATATGACAAATTACTTAATTACACTCCTTTACTTACCTTAATATCCATTTATCCCTACTTATTTCAAAAATTTCAAAAATCCCTTATTTTACCTATGTATCCCGCATGTATCCCATGCACAACACTATGTATCCCGCTATATGGAATGTATCAAACGCTATGTATCCCGTGCACAACGCTATGTATCCCGCATGTATCCCATGCACAACGTTATGTATCCCGCTATGTGAAATGTATCAAACCTAATGTATTCCATGCACAACGCTATGTATTCCGCTATGTGGAATGTATCAAACCTAATGTATCCCGTGCACAACGCTATGTATCCCGCAAATATCATTTTAAGAGATTTTTGGTAAATAGAAAACTAGAAGGGATAAGATGTTATTTAGTACTTATAGTATGTGGTTCCTATAATTTATACAAAAAAAAATATTGCTCCATGATTATTGAGGATGGTCGGTGGCCATGGAAAAGGAGTAGTTAATATATATTTTAACAAAGTTTTGGCTAAACCTGATTCCCTAATCCCTAGGAATATATATATATATATTTTTATTTTTTTTTATTTTTTTTTTGGGTTAACTAATCCCTAGGAATAAACTCCTCGTTTGGAAGAAATTTTTTTTAAAGTTTCATTTATATAAGTTGTACTCCAATTAAATAATGGAAAAAGCCATTAATTTTAATATATAAGCATTATTTAGGATAACATTAATTCATTTGATTTTTTTTCCCTACTTATAAGTGCCGCTAGATATAATTAATCTAACTCACTTGGAATTAAGGTGCAGTTATAATAATTTTTTATTATGAATTTCAAATTAATTTTTTTTATTTAGTACTCTTTCAGTAAATTAGAATTCTAGAAGGATCTGAAAATCAAATTAATTTGGGGTTAAACTAATCCCAATCTTATATTTCTCCGCCAACCTGACGAGCGACCAAACACATCTGAATTCTCATCTCTTAAATTTTCTCGTCAAAGTTTTACAATCCCAAACACTTCTCTTCTCGTGAAGTGTTATATGTTACGTTGGGTTGGGTTGGGTTGAAATTTGATTTGAGTACTCATCAGATCCTATGTGCATTTTGAATTCCTCGCCCATTTTCAGTTGTGGATGGTTTTTTGGGGAAACAGAAGAGAAGGTCAATTTCAGAGAGAAGCGAGAGGGCACTGTAATTTCTTGATCTTGATAACATGGAGGCCAGGCGCTGTGCAAGAGAGGTATAATTTTTTTATCTTGATTTATCATTCTTAATATTAACATAGGATTTAGGGTTCATGTTTTCTTGATTTTTGGGGTATTGGTCTGTGGTGCAAACTGCAATTTATTGAATTGGGTTATAGATTACATGTTTTCTTAATTTGCTAAACTATGTGCTATATGTTCTTTTGAGATTATCATGTCATATATCAATCGTCCACGGAAAGTGCTACATGTTAGAGGTGTTCTAGATTAGAAATTCCGTGCTACATGTTAGAGGTGTTCTAGATTAGAAATTATGGCTAAGAGGACTCCATTGAGAATTCCATTGGTAATTTTACAAGATGTATAGGATAAGGTATAGAAATAGGGTTTCAACATAAATTTGAATGTTAAAGGAAATCCTTAGTTGAAGTAAGTGCCCTGGATTTGGATTTAGGATATCTGTAATGGAAAATAACTTCCGCCAATAAGTAAGTGAAGTCATTTCCGCTCTTCTGGTGGAAAATCATGAGTAGAGAAAATATTTTCTAGACTTCAAGATGAGTAAAAAATAAAGAAAACATTATTGGAGGGAAATGTACGTTTTCAGCCATATTGAACACACCACCTCAATAATCCATTGGCAGATTTAACAAACGTGTAGTTGGAGAATAAAAAAACATAGAAGATCAAAAAGAAACACGTTACTTCCACATGGAATATCACGCCCATTTGGGAACATTCCTCTATTAAAGTAAACGACAAAGGTAAAATGTGTATACAAGTCTCAACTGTCAATGCTTCCAAACACTAGAACAATCTTTACGAAGACGACAAAACAAGCTTACGGTAGAAGGTACATTCACAAAGATGACGTACATAAAGTGTGAATGCACTTTGGACCACTGGTAGCAGTTTAAGGGCATTTCAAGATTGATCATTCCTTTTTCTGTCAATTAGCGGTCAATACATTAATGACACATTTTCCCAAAATCCAGGTATAAACTTATGTATGGATTTAAGAAATTGAAATGACCGTCAGCAAAATTGGCTTTTTCCATCTTACGTCATCTTGAATAGCTATTAATTTTGCTTGTCAATAACTATTTTGTTCCTGAAAAGGCGAAAAGGACATTTTGGTACGTATGTTCTTGAAAAGGTGAAATCATCATCATTTTGTTCCCAAGGGTGTCGCCTAGTGGTTAAGGAATTGGTTGAGAACCCTAAGGTCTCAATAACGCCGGGTGATTCTTCTCATCTGACCTAGCCTTGGTGGACAGAGTTACGTGGTACTTGTTACTGGTGGAAGGTGACAAGTATTCCGTGGAAGGTGACAAGTATTCCGTGGAATTAATCGAGGTGCACGAAAACTAGCCCGTAAATCACGGTTATCAAAAACAAAAAAAGGTACATTCGCAAAGAGATGACCTACATAAAATAATTTTAACAAAAAAGCTGCTAACTAATGAGAATATACATACCAAATGTCCTTTCACCTTTTCAGGAACCAATGACGTACATAAATCTCCAACTTACTTTACGAGAATATGTGTACCATGTTCTTTCTGAACTGAATGATAATTGACGAGCATAATTAATAGCTATACAATTTGATGTAAGATGGACATTTGTCACTTGCACATTCACGTAAAGTATGTTGGATATATTCGGATAAGGTAAGTTGAAAATATCAGTACATCATTATTCAGATTCTGAAAATGTGAAAGGACATTGGTACATATATTGTCGTAAAGTAAGTTGGAGATTTATGTATGTAAATTCTCGTAAAGTAAGCATTTACCTAGTTAAAAATGTTTTGTGTACGTCATCTTTGCGAATGTATGTTCTACCGTAAGCTTGTGATGTCATCTTCGTAAAGATTGTTATAACTTTTGGAAGCAGTGACAGTTGAAACTTGTATGCATATTTACCTTTGTTGTCTATTATAATGGAGGAATGTTCCCAAATGGGCGTGATATCCCATTTGGGAAACGTCTATTATGCTCTTGTTTCCTTTTCTCTAAGGTTGTTGGAAACGTGTTGATGCCTCATTGCCTAATTTTCCTTGCTTAACTGTCAATGTTCTTAGCTTGTTGTGTACTTTGTAATGTAGCATGGCTTCTCATGGCTTCTTCCTACTTTTCCTTTTCAAAATGAGCGATGATTTTAATAACTAACAATAATAAATAAATATAAACAAAAGCGGATGGAGTTAATGCGAGAATTTTGTTTTGGCTTTGCAGTGAAGGGATTTAGTTTCCTTACTTAACTATCAACCTTCTATTTGATTATGAGACAATTGCATACTCATATTGGAAGGTGGAATGTTGGGTTCATAAGATTATAAGCTCCAAAATTTACTGCATGTTATCAGTAATGTAGACATTCTTGAGAAAGATGACTTGGTCCCTCAAGGATGCTTTGAGTATTAGTGCTTTTCCCTTACTTACACCAGGGCAAAGGGAGAAAAGTTTATTTTAGCGTACAAGTTATTGAAATTTGGATGTTATAGCCATAATATTGATGTGATTTACATTGTATAATTTTTCGACATTTGTTGGCAAAGTCTTATAAGGTTAATTCTCGAGGGCTTGAAATCTTCCCCAAAAGTTGTTGTAGTCTATTTTTGTCATGGTTATGGGATTCATGCACTTTTTTTGTTGAAGGTCTGTGGCTTGCAAAAGCATTTGAAGTCTCAGACAAGTAATCTTCTTATAAAAGAATTTGTAATAACTATCATTAACTGTTGGCATTCCAGGGAAATTAGCATCTTTTTTGTAATGTAGTTGTTGCAATGGATTACCCCGGTGGGCTTTCAGAAGGCCTTCCTTCATGGTTACATACCAAGTTTTGACTCGCTGGTTGATGACGTCATTGAGCATTACTCAAAATTTAAAGGTATGACTCAATTGGATAACCTACTTCATCGTCTTCATCATTAAATTGATTCTTCTGAAAGGGTCAAGACACAATTAATATGTAGAAATTAGATTGAAAATATCTTACATGTGAAGGTGTGAACCATGTGAGCTGAAGTTTTTATTTCATTATTTTTCTATAAATTAAGTAGATAGCTCAGTTGATGCTGATGGTAAGCTGGAGATGTTTTAGGCCTGCCTGATAAAGGGCTTCAACCATCTCTAAGACGGGAGGACAGTTGTTTCTGCTGGATTAGTGAAGGCTGATGTTACTTTTGGAACCTTTCTGTAAATGTGAAGTAGCATCTTATCGGGGGTGAATGTATAAGTAAAATGAAATAATCTTTCTTTTGGGATGGAGACTTGTTTGAATGGTGAAATAAGGACCAGTTAATATTGGTCATCTGATCGTGCTTGTGCCAGGAATGCCACTGTTATCTATCTCAAATTCTCAATTGCATTAAGTGATGTTGAATAGCTTCTAGTAGGACAATCTTGATTGGTTGAGCATAATAATTAGATGCACAGATACACCTCACCCAATTTCTCATATATGATGTAAACCTGTTTCTTCTGTGTGCAGACTGCCTATGATGTCATCTCTTACAAGCATAAACCCCGTTTACAAACCGCCCTGGAGTTGCTGAATGCCACAAAAGAAGTAGAGGGACTACTAGCTAGAAAAGGTGCGTCACCTGTTTCAACTTTTTCTTTGAATTAGCGTAAAAGTTCATTGCCGTGTTAACTGTTTAAAGGTTGATATGTGAATATTTTCCATTTATGGGAGTTGCTCCACAGTCAGAATGTGTTGAATTCGGTCATATGCTTATTTTATCATGTTTTGCTCTTGTAGTTTAGGAAACACTTGGCCTCATTTAGCTTAATAAAGAGTCACGAGAACTGTCCATTACTGTGCACACAAGTTGATTAAGCATCCCGTTTAAGTAAATACACAAAAAAATTTACACTATTGATGTACAAAAGTTAGTAAGTATCATTTTAAAATAATTATACAATTTTTTTTGACCTTATTGATGCACAAAAGTTAATTAAGTACTGCTTTTAAAAAGTTGTATAAATTTTTTGACACGATTGTTGCTAAAACCTTAATTAAACACCCCAATCTCATTGATGTTTTCTATTGTTCATTCCTTACTTTTTTTGTTGCCTCTAGATCTTCATAACCCTTTTAGAGTTGCAATTTACTCGACGAGATTTGAGATAAGCAACTTGAGATATAAGAGCTGGGCATTCGATAATTCGGTTCGATTTTGATTTTTGAAATTGTTGTACCGAATACCGAATAGAATTAATTTGGTTCGGTTTGTGCTTTTTAAATTCAACTTGTTTTTTGTAATTTGGTTTTGAAATCACTAGTTGGCGCTCGCTGGAGGCTTAACTTGGAATTGAAATTTGGAAGAGAAGGCTAGAAGGCAAAAGCAGAAGGTGCGGCAGAAATTGGAAAAACAAAAATGAAAACCTAATGCTAACTTACCCTTCGGGGTGGCCCAATGGTTTGGGCTTGAGACTTTTATGTTGGAGGTCTCAAGTTCGAAACCCCTTGCCAGCGAAAGCAAGGGGTTTACCTTCTGGGTCGAGCTCGTTGCACCGGGCTTGCCTAGTGTGGGTTACCTCTCCTATGTGGTTTGCGAGCTATTGCATAGGAGCGGGGTTTTTACCCTGTGCGCACCCAAAGGGTAGCGGCTACGGGTTTCTCTTGTCATAAAAAAAAAAAACCTAATGCTAACTTACTAGTTGCTAAGGGTAAAAAAGGAAATAAACTGAAAAGACTTAATAGTATTAATAACTATATAATATTTATTATATTAATAACTATATAATACCAAAAATATGAAAACATATTATCGAAACCGAATTGTAATATAAAAAATACAAAAATATGTTACCGAGATCGAAATATCAAATTTTTTTTGGTTTGGTTCGGTATTTATGCGGGCTGGGCATAAATACTGGAAACCTGAAAACCCGAAATACCGAATCGAATCGGTTTTTTTTTTGTATTCCGATTTTCTGCAACATGTTTTTGTATTTTCGGCATTTCGGAATGGTTTTCCATAATATATTTTCATATTTTTGATATTTCGATTTAACTGAAATATACACACTAATATATATGCAATAATTAATAAATATTATATAGTTATTAATACTATTAAGCCTTTTAAGTTAATTCCTTTTTTGCCCTTACCATTAGGTTTTCATTTTTGTTTTTTCAATTTCCGCCGCACCTTCTGCTTCTACCTTTTAGCCTTCTCTTCCAAATTCCAAGTTTAAGCCTCCATCGCCGACCAGGGCAACAACTAGCGACCACGATCAGTGATTTCAAAATCGAATTTAATAAACCCAACTAAATTACAAAAAGTAAATTGAATATGAAAAAATAAAATCAAATTAATTCGATTTGGTGTTTGGTACAATAGTTTCAAAAATCAAAATAAAAATACCGAACTGAAAGCCCAGCCCTATTGTTTGTGCACAAAAGTCAATTAAGCACCACTTTTAAGTAACTGCGCAATTTTTTTTTGCACTATTGATGTTTTCTATTGTTCATGCCTTTTTTTGTTGCCTCTAGATCTTCATAACCCTTTTAGAGTTGCAATTTACTCGACGAGATTTGAGATAAGCAACTTGAGATATAAGAGCTGGGCATTCGGTAATTTGGTTTGCTTTTGATTTTTGGAATTATTGTACCGAACTGAATTATTTTGGTTTGGTTCATGTTTTTTAAACTCGAAAGAGTAGGCTAGAAGACAAAAGCAGAAGGTGTGACATAAATTGGGAAAACAAAAATGAAAACCTAATGCTAACTTACTAGTTGCTGAGGGTAAAAAAGGAAATAAACTTAAAAGGCTTAATAGTATTAATAATTACATAATATTTATTATAGTATGTATATTAGTGTGTATATTTTGGTTAAACCAAAATATCAAAAATATGAAAAAAATATTATCAAAGACCGAACTGCAATATCAAAAATACAAAAATATGTAATCGAAATTGAAATATCGAAAAATTTTGGTTCGGTTCGGTAACATGTTTTTGTATTTTCGGTATTTCAGATCGGTTTTCAATAATATGTTCTCATATTTTTGGTATTTCAGTTTAATGGAAATATACACACTAATATATATACAATAATTAATAAATATTATGTAATTATTAATACTACTAAGATTTTAAGTTTATTTCCTTTTTTGCCCTTAGCAATTAGTAAGTGAGGATTAATATTTATTATAGTATGTATAGTAGTGTGTATATTTTGGTTAAACCAAAATATCAAAAATATGAAAAAAATATTATCAAAAACCGAACTGCAATATCAAAAATACAAAAATGTGTTATTGAAATATCGAAAAATTTTGGTTCAGTTCGGTAACATGTTTTTGTATTTTCGGTATTTCAGATCGGATTTCAATAATATGTTCTCATATTTTTGGTATTTCAGTTTAATGGAAATATACACGCTAATATATATACAATAATTAATAAATATTATGTAATTATTAATATTACTAAGATTTTAAGTTTATTTGCTTTTTTGCCCTTAGCAATTAGTAAGTGAGGATTATGTTTTCATTTTTGTTTTTCCAATTTCCGTCTTCTGCTTTTGCCTTATAGCTTTCTCTTCCAAATTCCAATTCCAAGTTTAAGCCTCTAGCGATCCCTGATCAGGGAAACAACCAGCGACCACAACCAGTGATTTTAAAATCGAATTTCATAAATCGAACCAAAGTACAAAAACTAAATCGAATTTAAAAAATTGAAACGAATTAATTCGATTTAGTGTTTGATACAACAGTTGCAAAAATCAAAATAAAAGAACCGAACTAAACGCCCAACCCTAGTTGTTTGTGCACAAAAGTCAATTAAGCACCACTTTTAAGTAACTGCGCAATTTTTTTTGCACTATTGGTGCACACAAGTTATAATTAAGCATCACTTTTAAGTAAAAACATTATTTATTTTTTACACAATTGGTGCACACAAGTAAATTTAGCGCACTTCTAAGTAATTACACAAGTTTTTTTTTTGACTATTTTGATACACAAGTTAAATAAAACACTGATTTTAAGTGCACAGTTTTTTTTTTCTCATAATATTGGTGCACAAATGTTAATTAAGCACCACTTTGAAGTGACTACACAATTCGTTTTGATACTATTGTTGCACAAAATTTAATTAAGCACTTCTTTTAATTAGTGAACTACCCAATTATTTTTTCACATTGGTACATAGAAATTAATTGAGCATCGCTTTTGAATAACTACTTAATATTTGACATTGTTGATGGACAAGTGTTAATTAAGCTTTTTCTAAAAAATAGCTACATAATTCTTTTGGCCCGAAATCTCAGATAAAAACACTTTTACATTATACTTCACATACAGAAAAGAGAAAAATAAAATTGGTAGAAAAATACCAAGATCAAGAACATAATTGAATTTCCCAGCGATGTGAGACTTAACAAATAAAAATAAAAATACATATACATTAATCCACAAGCTGGGGGATTTATCTATTTTTTTTTATAATAGCGAAGGTACTCTTCGTAAGTGTAAGGTGACCAAATCCACTCCATAAGTTCAAAATCCCAATTAGCTTTAGTAGCTAATGATGATCCTTCATCTGGCGGAGGAATTTCCATCAATTTTTCTAGTTCCATTAATGATTGAACAGTTGAAGACAACATCACAGGAGGATCAATAATTTCCTTCTCATCATGAATATAAGGAGTAACTTCCATCACCTTTTCTTCATCTTCAGGTAAAAAATCAGAAAACATGGCATTAAAATCTATGCCAGCACTTTCATAACTAGTTTCACCTAATTTCTCCAAATCTATGATCAACCCCAGATCTTCATAGTCTTTTACATCTAAAGGAGGAATTTCACCTGAACTTTTTTCCAATTTCTTCTCCGTCTCCTCCTCAACATTTATAATTTCTACTTGCACCTCCTTAGCACTGCCCTCGTTACGAAGAGACCCCATAACAATAGAGAGAAGAGAAGAAGAAAAAATGGAGAAAGCAAAGCAAAGGAAGAAAAAGAGAAGATTATTTTGTGCTTTGATGGAGTGATGAAGTGAGTGATATATAGTGAGGGAAGCAACTTTACTGTTTTTGGATTATATGCTAGCATGCAAGGTGGTTTCTTCTCCCACTGTATTAAAAATGTGATTATATGTAACTGTTACAAGAACCAAGTATTGTGCATTAAATTTAATGGAGAGTTGTCTACAGTATAGTACTACTACTAAACAGTAACATAGTTTAGATAATTAAATTTACAATTATTAGTATATATAATTTAAATCTTAAATATATTAAGATAATTTAATGATTTTTTGAAGAAAAATAATTTTTTTTCTCAAACAAGGATAAAAAGGTCATTAATCAGTAGCTAGAAAGAAAACAAGCCCGTAGAATTGTATCTTGTAACTCCAAGATAAGAAACGGCCAAGAAATCTCCAAAAAAAACCGACCACATTTTTTGCACTTGGATGAACTTTACAATGTGAAAGTTTGCTTTTTAGTTTTGGTGTTTTGCTGGTTAGAGGTTGAAGTTGCCTGCATGCATAAACATGTGGCATCAATGAAGGTTCAAGAATCATTA